CAGAGTGCAAAGTGTGTCGGGTTCAGGGAGTTGAATTAGTGCTTCAGGATATTTCGCGTTGATTTGTCCAGAGATACCAGACTCAAAGCAGCAGTCAACGGGACAGGCAGAACGACCCGAAGCATTGCCCCTTCGGTTTTGGCATCCGGAGCTTGGCAGGGATTTAGGGAGATGGCGGTTGAAGAAATCCTACAGTTAAGCCACAGCCTGAAACCTCAAACCATCTCAAACCCAAAGCCCAAAACCTGAAACCCTAAACCACATGTTATGTAAGCCAACTGGCCATTCTGCGCACAGAGGCATTTTACATCGAATCCCCCTGCACGAGTTTGCATCGAAACTTCTCTGCCGGAAGGCATCCATCCGCTGGGACGGCTTACAGGGCTTTACGATTCAGGGTTGAGGGCTTCAGGACTTGAGGGAGTAACGTTAACACAGATTCCGCAGAAGGATCTACTGCAATCTACTGGCTTACGGTTTTAGGTTATCGGGCTTCAGCCTGCAAATCACTGTGTCATGTGATGAGGGTAGTTCGATCCCGTTCCCTCACAATGAAATCCTGCATTGGGGACCGCTGCTGAAGATTTCGTCCGGTGTAGGGTATGAATGATGATGTATCCCCCTTACCTAGGATCAAGGTTTTGGGATTTGGGTTTAGGGTTTAGGAGAGGTCTAGGGTTCAGGGTCTGCGTCTAGGGTTTGTTGCAGCTTTTTAGGGTTTGTGCTTTAGGGCCTGTGCAGCAGGGTTTTCAAGGGTTTGGGCTTAATTAGGGTTTGGACCGAATATTTGTTTTTTAGCAGTGTGGGGGTTAAACACCAGCTTCCTTCTTTACCTAGTAAACATCATGAAACATACTGGTAGTGGTTGAGGCTGCTACAGTAAACCCTCGCTAGACTGATCGTTGCACTGGTCGCATTGGACTTGCCATTCCGGCTTCTTTTATGTCTGTCGTTGGTTGTTCCTTTCAGAAACTAGTCCTTTAACTCCTGCTGCTCCTACGGCGGCTGCGGCTCCGACTACTACGACTACTACGACGACTGCTACGACGACTGCAACGACAACGACAACGGCGACGACCACGACCGCGGCTACGACTGCGGCTACGATGATGACGACGGCAACGACTACTAGTAACTACATACTACTATTACTACAAATAGAGACCTAAACCCCTGCTACCACCACGACGACTGAACCGCTTCAAGCATCCATAACTGCTCCTACTCCTCCTCCGCCTCCTCCCACTTCTTCTTCTGCTACGACTACTACTGCTATAAGGTTAGAATGCTATATTAGGGTCCCCTGTTTTCGGAAACTCTAGACCCTAAACCCTAAACCCTTTCTAGAAGCTTATAGATCCGGCAAAGGATCCCTTAAAGAATCCCGCTAAAGCAACCCTTAATTTTCGGAAACTCCCATAAAGCGGCGACTGAGCCTCGTCTTGAGGCATCCACGTGCGCTTCAGGCTCCTCCTGCGCGCTGCCGAAGGCTGGCAAAGTGTTTGTTGGAGGTTGGGAGTTTTAGAAGGGTGTGTATATTCAGGGGTCCTGATATGAAAGTGTGTGTTGGAAGAGCAGAAGCGCTTTGCTTACATGGAGCTCACAGGTTGGATTTTGGGCAAGACATAGGGTGTGCAAAGTTCGTTCAATGGTTGTGATAGGGCTTCCAAAAGTGATGGTTGTCTCATTCAAGGGTTCCGATTCTTTGAGGGGCCTACTACTTGGGGTCTATACCGGTCCCCTGTTTGTTACTCAGCCCTTGGATTCTTGTTAGATAGCTCTTGATTTTCAGCATCGTGGTATATCGTTTCTCGGGGTATTCAGGAGATAGGTTCCTGCTCAGGGCGGATCCCTCAATGCGGGCTATGTTTGTAAGCTCGATTCCAGACGACACTCGTCGGATATGTATTAAGGATCCCTCGGTCTTAGGGTATCTTTCTAGGTTGCGTTGAAAGGCCTTTGCGCGATCTGCATTGGAGCATTTAGCAGGTTTTCACTTGGCTTACTACCCCATACAGTAGTCTACAGGACAATCATTACGTGATTGAGCTGTTGTTGTCTCCGCAACCGGGGTTTCCCACTAAGGTGTCTCTACAAAGAAGATCGTTTAGCTTTTGGTGTAGGATCAACGGATCAACAGTACATAAAAAACTCCTACGCAGCATATGGATGAAGTTTGGCCGTGCTTGCAACCCGATGACCGATTGCTCTGGCAGGTCCTCCGAGTAGTCGGGACGGCTTGCGCGTGCAGTCCATCTCGACATGGGCGATGGCATGCATTGGCCCGTACTCTCAGGCTTCTGGCTGCTGTTTTAGGTTTTAGGGTGGCCGGAGTCAAGAAATATGATTCTCGAGAGGAGTGTTCGAGATCAGATGTTGGAAGGTTGGCTTATTGCCCCTCCCAAGACACTTGACAACTTTTCTCGGGACCAAATTCGTTTCATGAACTTCACAGCCTGCATTGGTCTTCGTGCGGGCTCCAGGCCGTAGTACAACAACCTCTTGCCCAATTAAACACACCCTTGCAGGAACTCTACGCCCTAAGCCCAACAGCCTCAACCCTCAATCCTATACCCCAACCTTGTATCCTAACTTGAAAACTCGTCACTCCACTTCAGCATAGCAGGCCCAGCGGGTCGCTGGCCGACTACTCTCCTCTGGGGTCTTGGGTTTGGTGTCGGGCTCTTGGACGGCTGGGGCAGTGCCGAAGGGCTTCGGGATCTTGGGCATAGGCTTTGCCGCTTAGGGTCTGGGAGTCGAGGTTCCAGGATGTTTCAGGGTCCATACACGGTCCATTCGATTTTGCGGCTTGGGGTGCTTTTGTAAAATTTAGGGCAGAAGAAAAAAACCTTTCTGTCGGAAGGGTAGAAGTCAGTCGAAGTGAACCAGGTGATGGGGAGGCAACCGGCAATGTCGTAAGTTCATGGCTGGTGGCGTGAGGCCAGTATGCTGCTTCCTGCCTTTGTCACTGTAAGACAATCAAGATGGACACATGTTGTTTTACCATAACCCTCGAATAGCTCAAAATAAGGGTCTGAAATTATCAACAGTATTCCCTCATAATCCCTATAGAAGTACAGTCCCACACCCTCCATCTTGTAAGCTGTTAGAAACCGACAAACGCCCTGCACTCTAGAGCATACCCTGCACCGTGAGCTCTAAACCCTTCCCTCAAACCCCAAGCTCTCAACCATGTTCTGACCACGCACACACGCACTGAACATGCGCTGACCCATACTGAGTCTAGACATCCAAAGCCCTGATCCAGACCATCTCTTCCCAGGCCTCACTCGATGACTTTGCCATCGACAGAGGTCCCAAAGAAGTGCTTGTGATAGTTTGGGGTCTGGGGTCGTTGTCTTCATATTAAGGCTTAGGGTTTAGTTTGCTCCTGTTTGAGGTGCAGGAATCAACGTGTTGTTGCTTCAAGTTCATGGCTGAGGGTGACCATGTTCCGAACTTTCCGATGCTTCCAAGAGGGTTCGGATGGGCTCTTCAAGATCACCAGTATGCGGGGCTCTGGGCTGCGGCTTAGGGTCTGGGGTTAAGGATGCAGGCTCAGCTTGTAGAGCTTACGGTGTTCATTTTAGGTTTAGGGCTTCAGCTGTGCGTGATCGGTGTAACGCAGGAGGTCTTACTTCCCAAAATTGTAAGACTAGTCTCTATGACGCAGTCGCTTGAGCAGGCTGCTGGCACCATAAAGTTCTCTGAGGACGAGGAGGCACAGATCAGAATATGTTGGTTCCGAACCGTGATTTAAGACTTTGGTCGAGCCAATCATTATGGGTGTAGCAGAGGAGCCCATACAACTAGCATGATTTCATGCAACAGCAATAGTTGTATCGACACCACCACTATAGAGATCCGTTCCTACTTTGGCAGGCCACCACAATCCAAGGCAGGGTTCTATGGCGTAAACCATGAGCCGCAGTGAAAAGGCTTGAGGTCTGTGGGTGGATCCATTTGTAGCTGTGCTTTTGGGGGTTGCTTGTGACATTTGGGGGATCGATCTGGCTCCGAAGGACTGCAAGGGGCATACTATGTATGAACAGAAACGAGCACAGTGCATTGTAAGTACCTTGAACCCAATGCAGTCAGCAGTCCGTGATATCACTAGTTTCGGGATGTGGATAGGTACTATCTACATATAGACTGGTGTAGACTGAATATGTATCTTTGGCCAGTGTCTCCCGCTGTGTTCAAAATGGACAGCCCACCAGACTTCAGCTTACTTATGTGATGCCCCTGAAGTGGCACAAAACGTGGAGATTCAGGATTGGAGTCTCGTGTTTTCCTTGCATGCACAGTCTGCATCGGTTTCTGACATTCATGCCGGGTCCACATATACTCTTCCGACCGACCCGGATCCCCGGATCGGGTGGTTTCCCAAGCTTCGGATGCCGCAAGGAACTTTAGTTTTTGGCTCAGGGAGTTCAGGGTCACGGATTCTAGTCGGTGCCCGAAGCGAGATCCCTCTTCAAGCCTCCAACTCCAAGACAGCAAGAACCAAAGCGTGGTTGTACATACTTCGGCCCACCCTGGACAAGCATGCTAAATCCTAAATCCTATAGGACGCAGCCGCAGATGCGCTTCATGCAGTTCCAACACAACTGGAGGCTCGGTCAACGGCTGGGCATCCACCAGTCCAGTAGATCGATTACTGCGTAACCTTAACAGCCAATCCTCGAAGCGGTGTAACTGGGAGCACCATGGGACCTGTTGCACGGTTTCTATTTCTCTGGAAGTGATTGGAAACTCGCTACAGGGATCCAGAGCAAAGCCATACCTGGCGGAGCTGTAGATGAGCTTTTGGGTGACAGGACGCTTGAACTTCGTGCAAGCATCTGAAGCTGACTTCGATCTTCATGGGTTTAGAGTTTAGGGAATGTTCGGTGTACACTTAGGGCTTGCGGGGCGATGCTCGAGTCTGAAGACAGGGCTCGAACAAGCAAAGCGTCGACGGCACTTGCCAGTTGCGACTCTACTTGCACCCTTCCTCCATGTCGGAAGCTTGTCTTGCTGATGCCACCATGGAGGTGCTGGAAGCGACCGCAACGGCAGAACAGATCAGTGATTTGGTCTTAGACTTCGGAGTGGACTCCCTGCCCGTAAACTCTGTTTTGCTTCGCCTGGCTTCTCCCGTTTTCAACCGCATGCTTGAGAGCGGCATGAAGGAAGCACAGCAAAGTCTCATCAAGGTGGACGTGGCGAGCAAGGAGGAGTTCACGATCTTCTACGATTTGCTGGGGCCTATGGCATGGAGTACGGATAGAGTGACCGAGGCAAACGTTGATTCGCTTCTTGCAATCAGCGACTACTACCAGGTGGGAATGATGAAGCAAGCCTGCGAACAGTTGCTGCTTGGTCTTCCCCCCAGCGGCACCCGCCTCCTGCAAGCACACAAGCACGGGCTCAAGGCACAATACCGACGGTGCGTGAGTGACTTGGCCAAGAAGAGCACAAAGGCTGACTTGGAGGTGCTCCAGTCAGATCCGCGCACCTTGCTGGAGGTGACCTTCAGAAAACAGGACATGTTGAACCAGGTCATGGATATGAAAGATGAGATCGTCTCCTGCCAGGGCTCTGTCGTCGATTCTGTAAACTATGCCGAAAGCCATTTTGCCCGAGGAGCAAAATTTACTCCACAACAAGCCAACCAAATATCAGCAGCTTTGGCAGCCTATGCCCCAATGACCTCAGTTCTCGGAAAGGTGCTCCAGGCATTGAGCTGATCGTAGCACAATCGTCGAACCTGTGCAGATTGGAGCCAGCAGGGTGCATGTCTCAATGGTGGGTGACAAAGCTAGTCAGGATCAGGTCAACGGTGGAAGGTATTGGGTTGACTGCTTCCGCCATGAGACGAAATCAACATGGCCCTCGGAAATGTGCCGGGGTACTCTCAGTGACCCTTGTCTGCTCCGGGAAGTGCCAACAGCGTGCCGCCTGGACAAGGGATATAAGCAGCTGCGTGCAACGACAGGAAGAGTTTGCGACAGCCAGGGCAGCCTATTCGACGGTAGTGCTGCGGTGGTGCTGAGTCTTGTTATATCGGCTGTGAAATATGGTATCGTTGTAGCCTGCATCATTTAGTTTCAGTTCCATCTCTAGACTCTAGAGCTTTACTTTGATTACTTGGCGATAGCGACGACGCTGATGGTGATGATATGGTGATGGTGGTGATACTTTCTGTGACTGCCTCCAAGAAGGCACTCTAGACGCTAGCACTAAATTGTGCAACCCTAAAGCTGGCAATGTCCGCACAAACTCTCGGAAGGCTTCGTGAATCCCAGGGCATTCGGATTCAGGGGTTTAAGGTTAGCGATTGTAGTGAGAGGACTTTGTTTTCGTTCTTGGCGACATGTCTTCAGGATGCTGGGGTCTAGGAGTTCTGAGAGACTCCGAAATGCCGTCAGACATGAATAACCCGATCTATCTTCAATCACGCCGATTTACGGCGAAGTCATTCATGAAGTTTATTTCGTAGACGCACATCAAAGGAACCTTTCGCCAAGTTTAGTGGGAGACGACATGCAGTCTGCTTTCCACAGGCCTGCGTGTACATCCTGCAGTACTCGTGGCACCCTTCTTCGATCTCGGGCTTCCCTGTTGTAATGATGCCGGAGGGTTGATCCGAAACCATCGCGAGTACTTGTTTGGGGATTTGTCACGTTTTGGATTGCTTCATATGCGGGCATGCGTGCGGCTTCGTGTCACATTCGAAGTTAGAGGTAAACAGGACCCTTACGTAATCCCCTAGCCCTGAACTATTTCTCTGATTGATTCTGCTCGTAGTGGCTACCAGGCCGAACTGTGGATCCTGATGCGCTCTCTGGCGCACGTGCTGCAGGCATCGGTCATGGATTTGGGGTTTAGGGGTTTAGGGTTGAGGGTGAAGGTGTTTCGTGTTTAGGGTGTGTTTGGTTAGGGTTCCAGGGGTTAGTTAGCTAGGGTGAAGAGTTGAGCGTTTGGCCTTGTCAAGCACGTTTCAGACAAAGGTTCGGAGCTCAAGAGAAAGCAATATCTCATGGCCCCGATAGTTTCAGCCTGTGCCAGGAACCCTCGAAGTAGACCTTGAACACTGGAAACTTAGCCGCAAAGGCCCTAAACCCCGACCTTCCCGAAACTGGCAACTAAGTGAACCCAAAGTGGCATGCCGTTGACCAATGCCCAGAAGATAGTAAAGCTTTCTGATTCTGCTCTTCAAAGCATAGCACTTTGGGGGGACCATGGAGGCCTTCAGTTTAGGGATGTTGAATCCCCAAACCTGCAACCCTTAAATGCCCTAACATAGCCTAGGGTCTTTAGACCTTATACCCTGAACCCCCTCTTGTCGTCACAACCTGGGAAAAACTGCACACGCAAGGCCCTCCGGCAAGTCCGATTAACTTGTCATTACACTCTCTTGAGCCTGTATATGGGTGGTTGTCAATATTAGGGTCCCTTTTGGGGGTCCTTAATTATAATACGGCGCCTAATATTCAGGGTACCCAAAAAGGGGACCATAATTTTGACAACCACTTACACTAACCGTACTAAGTACTGCAACATGATAAAACAAAAACCATGGCGAGGTGATGGGCAGTGACTTCCGCGAAGCACAGTTGGCGCAGGCACACGCTTCCGGCGGTGCTTGTAGCAGGGGGGTGCTCGAAAGCGAAAGCCCGAAGTAGCAAGATCGGAGCTTCAACGATTTGTGCTATTGAAGTTTTTGGCTGGGAGAGAAGTACAGCTTACATCGAGAGGTGGTCGTGTAGGGTGTGGGCTTGGGGCGTCTATTTCGAGTTTAGACTGGAAGCTGTCCGGCCCAAAACCCTGAAACTAAACTCTAAGCCCTGCTTGAGGGTTCAGGGTTGGCCTATCAGGTAAAGAATTGCTGAACGGCTCCATGTGCGGGATCTTTTCTACGATCTCCGAGATTCGATCCCAGGGCTCGCGGGAGTGCACTCGTAGCTCAGGGGCTTAGTACCCGGACCACCAAAATTATGTAAAAGCAATAGCCTTTTGATAGGTTTTGGGCCATTATTTTCCTTACTCTCAGGGTCTTAGGACTTAGGGCTTTCCAGTTCCAACAAGCAGCACTGAAGAAGCTCAAACCCTGAGCCCTAATCATGATCTCTTGACCCTAAGCCGCCAACCCTCAGAACTGGAGACCTTGCAGCCCTGCAGAGGGTATGAAAGCCTTGTGACATTGTACTGACCGCATCCCCCCGCCCCACCCGGCCGTCGAACCCTGGAACAAAGCCTCAAAGGTTTATGTGGCTGGAGCCGGCGCAGGCTTTGCTGCCGAGCCCGTGCCCCAGGGGAAGTGACGGATTTCCTGCAACAAGGGGCACCTGTTGAAAATCTGTTGTTTTAAGGGGTCAGGTCATGAGTTTCAGAAGGGTTTTATGAATGTTTTCATCAACCCGAAAAGAAGTTGAAGAGGTTTTCGGGGGTTTCAGACAAGCGCTGTAGTTGAGCTTTAACAAGTTGTGTACAGTAAAGGTGTTGGCAAGGACTCGTATTGTATGGGTTTCCCAAGTACAGTAGAAAGTTTCAGAAAACGCGGGACCACAACATTAGACACAGCAGAGTAAGATTTCTGCTTCTGCGTGTAACCTTCATTTCCGGGCCGAATCTGACCCTGCACTGGCGAGAAGCCATAAGTCCTTGCAACGTATAGTAAACAGCACGTGACATACATCTTTCTGACACAAAAGTTCGTCGAGCCGGTGTGTTTGTGTCCATATCTCGGTGCATCCAGTCCTCTTGAAGCAAACAGAATCATGAATGCCCTCCCTCCTTTCGTTGCGGTGGCTTCGACCAGACACCGCAAACCCCGAAAAACTGTAAACTTTGAACCTGAATCCGAAATTCCTTAATACTCATCCCAAACCCTGACGCAGAGGCTTTGTGCGCACATCCTGGCCTACATGCGGCGCGCGGCGCCTGAAGCACAGCCGCCCCTTGGCGTGATTAAGGGATATTAAGGGGTCATGGTCGTGGTCTAGGATTTGGGGTAGGGTTCACCGACACTCAAGTTCCCTTACAGAGGGAGACTTACTTTGCCTATCAGCTACTTAGTAGCTGAGTAGACAACCTTTAACGTCTAGCCTTTTTCGGGCTTCTAGAATCCTACCATAGTTGAAAACGTTAACCCAAAACCCCGTGGTAGGATACTCAGCCCCTAAGGTCAAAGGGTTTTTGGAGTGTGTAGGATCTCGATGCCTGAAGAAGGCCGCATTCGGGTCAAAGGCGCGCCTTAGGTAGCTTCAAATTATGTAGGGTTTAGGGTGTTAGGGTTTAGGCAGTTTGGTTGGTGACTGGCTTTAGGGGTTCTTGTAGGGTACAGACAGGGTCCAGGCTTGTTTCCTCGACAAAGTATGTATCCGTACAGTAAAGAGGTATAAACAACGACGGGAACTACATACAGTGGAGGCTCAGACCCCCAACTTTCAGAACCGGGGCCAAATCCACACATGTTCATGGACAGTTCCTAAGCCCTGAACCTAAACCGCATAGAGTGAGCCCTAACGTCCAAAGTCGGAGCATAAGTTCGGCAAGCAGAGTGATCGATCAGAAGATGCCAATATCCCTTATCTGAGGTATATACCTCCAGTCATACGAGGGATCCTACCATAACTGAAGGTATTTGGGAGTCTCTAGGGAACCCTACTTGGAGGGTCGGGGGACTTAGCAAGTAGGTAATACACCGCAACCGGAGACCCTTACTGGGGTTACGCTACTTATATACCTTATAAGTCTATAATCAAGTCCCCCGACCCTAGAAGTGTTAGACCCTGACGTCTTTGGCCGTAGCCGTCGTGCAGGCGCCTTTGCTTCGCAGAGGTTCCGAGGCTGCCGAAGGGCGGATGTGCGAGGTCCCCGGAGGTTGTAATTAAACAGGGGTTCGCTAGGGTTTGATAGGATGTTACAGGAGCATGCTGTTTTCTTTTTAATTATGGGTGTTTCGCACTCGGCCTATAAGGAGGTTGAGCCTCAAATTTGTATTCGAGATAGAAGGAGCTTATACAAATCCTACACTACACTCTAAAACCCTGAGCCCGACTCCCGCAGACCCCAAACACTTTATGCTAAAGGCCGTCAAGCCCGATATGTAGTGATATCCCGAGTAGGGCCCAAGTGACCCAGCAGCGGGTATCTTAAAGGCCCCAGTACCGGACGCAATGGCCGCATAGCGGAAGGCGGTACGCCAGTTTGCAGCTGCCTGGGCAGCTGCAGGGGGGCAACAGCCAGACCTACAATTGGGATTCCATGTTGGTGGGCAACGGCTCCAGCAAGAAACTGTTCGCATGTGTGGATGACGAACATGTGACGCTCAGAGTGGCAGTGTTTGATCACCAGGGACACTTGAAGGACACCATTCCCACAGGACAAGAACACTTGGTCGTTGTCCGGCTCTTCTTGACCCCGGAAGAGCTGCAGCTGCTGATGGATAGCGTCCCGAAGTGGGATATGGCCGGTGCCATTCCGTGCACCACAAAATCGAACATGAGCGAGATCGACCTCTTGGTTTGCAATAAGGACCTGGAAACCGACGCCAAAGCCAAAAGCATGGTGGGTGCCATTAAGGATGCTTTCCGAAATGGTGCTCTCGGCTGGATGAGCTGCTTAGCCAACATCAAGAACATGTAGGCCAAGGTGTATCCGGAGCAAAACGTCTACGCCAACCGTGGCTACACCACGAACATGCACTGGATCGTCGGCCCCAATGCCGTCTTCTTGAGAATCA